GCCCTAAGAAATTTGAAAGCGTACCTGTCCTCATCGCCATTACTTGGCAAAACAGATCTGGGCGAGTGCCTCCTGGTATACCTAGCGGTCTCCAAAGTCGTGGTAAGTGCAGTTTTAGTCCGCAAAAACAAAGGTATGCAATCTCCCATTTACTATATTAGCAAAACCTTAATTGATGCCGAAACGAGATACCCCCACCTTGAAAAATTGGCTCTGGCATTAGTCGTAGCTTCACGAAAGCTTAGACCATATTTTCAATGCCACCCATAAAGGTGGCAATAACCTTCCCCCTCAGGAGCATCCTACACAAACCCGAGCTATCGGGTAGGTTGGCCAAATGGGCCATAGAATTAGCGAGCACAAAATAACATATCAACTGCGAACTGCAATAAAGTCGCAAGTGCTCGCCGATTTCGTCGCTGATTTCAGTGCAAAAATACTGCCCAAGGTTGAGCAAGAAGCGCTTCGCACTTCTGCACGATCCGACCTCTGGGTTCTCTACACTGATGTCGCATCTCATGCGTAAGGATCGGGATTAGGACTCATCCTCGAAGTCCCTACGGGCGAAGTGATTTGCCAATCCATACGGGGTCCCGAAATGACTAACAACGAGGATGTGACGACCCGTCCGGTCATCTTAAGAATTCACGCCCCGAAATGTTCGGTTTTGAATTTCGGAGAGTTTTGGGACACTTAGTCCCTAAATGAGAGCTTAAGTATTGGAAAATTGACTATAGTCGGAACAGTATGAAGAAGGCCTCGGAATGGAACCGTTGGATGATTTTGGGATTAGGAGCGTGTTCGGATTGTGTTTTGGAGGTCCGTAGCTAATTTAGGCTTGAAATGCCGAAAGTTGAATTTTTTGAAGTTTCCGGTCCGATAGTGAAATTTTTATCCGAGGGTTGGAATGCAATTCTGAGAGTTTCAATAGTTCCGTTGTGTCATTCAGGATGTGTGCGCAAAATTTCAGGTCATTCGGACGTGATTTGGTTAGGTTTTTGATCGAAAGCGGAATTCAAAAGATTTTTGAAACTTAGGCTTGAATCCGATGTATTTTGGTTGTTTTGATATTGTTTGAAGTGTTTTGAAGATTGGTACAAGTTTGAGTAAGGTTTTAGGATATATTGATGCCTTTGGTTGAGGTCCCGGGGGCCTCAGAATGAATTCGGATGTTTGACGGAGGAAATTTTGGAGTTGAAGTTGTGCAGCAGTTGTTCTTCTGGTATTTTCGCATCTGCGGTTTGGGAACCGCAGATGCGGAGCCGTAGAAGCGGCGTAAAGGGCCATAAAAGCAAAATTTGGGATTTTCCTCAAGAACCGTAGATGCGGTTGAATGCCCGCAGAAGCGGAACCGCTCCTGCTGTTAGAGTTCCGCAGATGTGAAAGTTGGGTCCTTAAGTGAAAGTTACAGATGCGACACTTGTTCCACAGAAGCGGGACTGCAGATGCAGTCCCAGGGCCGCAAATGCGGGAATCGCTTGGCAGAACATATAAATAGTTGCCTTTGCGAAATTTAGCCATTCTTTCACCATTTTTATCCGGGTTTGAAGTTTTTGAGGGAGATTTTTGAGGAAAACAAAGAGGAATTACTTGGAGGTAACGTCCTTGACTTCATAACTCGTTTTATGTGATTGCAGACCTAATTAGTGATGAGAAATTTGGGAAAAATGGGTAATTAGGGCTTGAGTTTAAGAGGCCTTTAAATGAGGATTTGAGGGGTCATTTGGACTTCGATTTCAGTGTTCTTGTTATGTATAGACTAGTGAGAGTACGAGGTTTCTGATTGTAAATTTCACATGATTCCAAGATGTGCGACCGAGGGGTATTTTGGTCATTTTACATAATTTTGCGTATTATCTTAGACTTTAATTGTAGAATCAGTACTTGAAGTGTTATTTACAATATGCAATTGAATTTAAATAGATTTGGGCCATTCGCAGTTGGATACTCGTGGCAAAATTGTGGTTTCGGGTTGATTTTGAGCTGGTTTGAGGTAAGTGACTTGTCTAACCTTGTGTGGGGGACCTTCCCCTTAGGATATGATATATTTGATAATTGAAATGCCTTGTACGTGAGGTGACAAGCTCGTACTTGAGCTAATTGTTGAAAATTCGATTTTTTTCCTTAAGTATTTCAATTGAGTTCTTTTTCCTATTTTATTCTACTTGTGAATTTAGCCTGTTGCTAGTTCAGAAAAGCATGTTTAGTTGACTTAATTGTCTATTTTCTTAAACTGGCTTAATTGCATTACGTGAAGCATATTAGGCTAGAATTAACAGTTTACTTGGTACAAAATTTAGCTTAATTGGGTATTCTTGTGTTGCTGCTGTGTGTTTTTACCTTGGGACTACGGGACGACATCCCGGGAGATCCCCTGTATGTATTTATGATCTGAACTGAGGTGCGGGATACCAAGAGATCCCTATCATACATTGAGGATACCAAGAGATCCCTAGCATCTATTGAGGATACCGAGAGATCCTCAGGATACCAAGAGATCCCTATCATACATTGAGGATACCAAGAGATCCTCAGGATACCAAGTGATCCCTAGAATATATTGAGGATACCGAGATATCCTCGGGATACCAAGAGATCCCTATCATACTTTGAGGATACCAAGAGATCCTCGGGATACCAAGAGATCCCTAACATACATTGAGGATACCGAGAGATCCTCGGGATACTAAGAGATCCCTGGTATATATTAAGGGTACTAAGAGATCCTCAGGATACTGAGAGATCCCCAGTTATCATCCTTGTTATGAGTGGTACTTCCTGGTGTTTGCTATTATTTCTGTTTCCATTATTGTACTCCTTATTATCCTGTGTAGATTCTTACTGTAGATTTTCAACTGTACTGCTTATCTTATACTGTCATGTCTCATATTCTTTATTTTATCTCAGTAGGGCCCTGACCTTCCTCATCACTACCCAACCTAGGTTAGGCTTGGCACTTACTGAGTACCACTGTGGTGTACTCATGCCTCTTCTACGCATGTTTTTCATGTGCAGATCCAGGTATCGCTACTCAGGTCTACCATCCTTGAGGAGGCGACTGCTCTAGAGACTTTGAGGTACATCTGTCGCGTCCGCAGACCAAAAAGTCCCTTTCTATTCCTATTTTTAGTATTTAGCCCTTCTGTATTTTTCTGTTCTTATTAGACATTCTAGAGTTAGAGCTATGTAATGTTTTTCTTAGCTTGCGATTTGTGGGTTTCCGGGTCTTGGATTTATGTATTGGTATTGAAAGTTAAACATGGTGTAAGCCGAGCGGCACATTTAAACACTGTTACTAATTTATTTCTGTTTTAAATTGTTTACTTTCGCAAATTTTGGTTTTTCTTCCTCAAATTAGGCTTACCTAGTCATAGAGACTAGGTGCCATCATGATGGTTCACGGAGGGCGAACCGGGGTCGTGACAAGTTGGTATCAGAGCACTAGGTTTATAGGAGTCATGGATCACAAGCCGGTTTATTGGAGTCTCGCTGATCGGTACGGAGACGTCTGTACTTATCTACGAGAGGTTATGTAACTGTTAGGAAAATTCCACTTCATTTGATTTCCCTGTCGTGCGAGATTTTTGACATCACAAATTTTGAACTTCTATCTTCTATTCTCTCACCGATGGTGAGGACACACGCTACCTGAAATGATCAGGCACCGCGCCCCTGCGAGATTCGCCAGAAGTCGGGGCCGGGGTAGAGGCCGAGGATGTGCACGTGCATGCGATGAAGCAAAAGCACCCGCGCGAGCTGCCATCGAGGAGCCACCAACAGTTCCAGCCAGAGCCCAGGCACCGAATGCACATACTGCTACTACTGCTCCAACCTTTCAGGAAACATTTGCACAGTTGCAAGCATGTTTGGTACGTTAGTTCAGGCGGGGTTGATTCAGGTTGTACCAACTACTTCACAGATCAGGGAAGGGACCCAGACTTCCACCACCCCCACTCCAGAGCAGCGAGTTCTCATTGGTCGGGTTCCGGGCGTCATAGCGACACAGCCTGTGGTCCCAGTTTAGTGGGTGGTGAGGACCTCTCACCGAGTAGAAGACAGGTGGGTCCAGGAGAGGGAGGACAGACGAGGTCAGGAGAGATAATATAGGGAAGTGAGGAGGCCTCGTGGACTGGAGAGACCCACTGGTCCTTATTTTGGAGGAAGAGTACGACATGGTAGAGGTTTTGTGGGTCAACTAACTCAGTTTGCATCTCAGATTTCACACAGTGTTTCAGGTGTTCAGGGGTCTTGGGGTACCCATACCGCACATTTCCCACTGCCACGTCCTCCCAGAGCTTGTTTTGAGTGTGGTGACATATGCCACATGGTGAGGGATTGCCCTAGACTTGGGAGGAGTGCACCTCCACAGACTTCTCAGCCACAACATGCCCAACAGAGTTCTCAGGCTATGATTACAACTCCAGTTGCTACCCCACCTGCTCAGCCAGCTAGAGGTAGAGGTCGGGGAGGTAGAGGTCGCCCTCGAGGGGGAGGCCAGGCCAGATACTATGCCCTTCCTGCCCGTACCGAGGCTGCTGCCTCCGATTCTGTCATCATAGGTATTATACTGGTTTATCACAAAGATGCATCGGTTCTATTCGATCCAGGCTCCAGTTACTCTTATGTGTCTTCTTATTTTGCTCCGCATTTGGGTGTACCCCGAGATTCCTTGAGTTCCCCAGTTTATGTTTTTACTCCTATGAAAGATTCCCTTGTTGTGGACCGCGTTTATCGGTCGTGTTTGGTTGATCTTAGTGGTTTTGAGACCAGAGCCGATCTATTGTTACTCAGCATGGTTGATTTTGATATTATCTTGGGCATGGACTGGTGTCACGACCCAAGCTTAGGGGCAAGACTGGCACTCAGTGCCTCAACTATCCTTGCGTATCACCTGTGACTCAGAGACTTTGAACATGTAATGTCATATTTTTGGCCATGGGCTGCAAGAAAATGTACGATGTAAAGTATAAAACTGAATAGAGACTAACACTGACTAACCATCAACATAAGGCTGGGCCGGCAAGGCCGTCATATTTACTAGACCTGACAAGCCAACAAAATATACGTACAGGACCTACCAGTCCAACATACTGTGTTAACTGACAGGACATATCTACAAGCCTCTAATAATAAATGTACTATGATCGGAACAGGGCCCCGACCTACCCATAACCTATCTACATATATACACAAGATACACACCACACTGCTAGCCCCGGTAACTCCGAAAGAAGGGGAGCTTACCGATAAAGCTGATCTCGGGCAACACCTAGTGAGGAGGTCTACCCGTCTGTCTGTCTGACCCTGCATGCATAAAATGCAGCGTCCTCAGAAAGGGACGTCAGTACGAAATAATGTACCGAGTATGTAAGGCAATATACTGAAACTGAAACTGAACCGATAATATAACAACTGAGAACAACTGGGAGTCAAAGAAAACTCGAGGATATGCTCATCTGATAATACTGTCTCAATTCTCTCAATATAGTAAGTAAAATAGCTGTCCGTCTCTATAAGGCTCGGTATACATATATATCTGCTCTACCGTAGTAGGCTCGCTCATAAGTGCTCGGCCATACTAGGCTCTGTATCTCGACCAACTAGGCTCGCCCATATGCGCTCGGCCACAGTAGGATCATCATATAACTTACCATCTGATCAGAGATTGCCCAATAGGGGCATGCCCATCGATTATAGCTCGATGGTAATGAAAATACTTTTAATACTATATATATAGACTCTCTGCTCTCTCTTGACTGGAAGAAAGAAATACTCAATTGAATATGATTTATATTCATCCTATGAGAAATAGAAGAATGATCCTACAACAATTAAAATGAACTTAACTATTGAAGGTATAAGCGACAAGATTAAGAGGCATATTGAATTAATGACAGAAAATAAAAATTACGTTTAACTTAGTGAGTCATCATTCTTGGCCTTCCATTACCCATTACAGAGTCTCTTGTTTCTACTTTTGGGAAGTAACATCTCCTTCTGATTTTAAAACCTTTTTCTTATTTTTGACTAAATTCGTATTTAGTGTTCCAAAGCTCAGCCATTTCAATGTCGTTGACAAGAAAGAGAATACAATAGCTTGTTGAACCCGCAATATTTCGGCTTTTTACATGGTCATACCTTGAAACAGCTTCCCATTAAATGCAAAATTCGTTTTTGAATATGACCCAAACCGACACATTATTTGGTCCAAACCGACCGTCGTAACTTAGAAAACTAGAAAAATATACGTAACTTGCAAGACTAGCAAAATATACGTAAATTTCGGGATGTGAATTTTTCTTTATGGCTCATTAACAAAATCGTGTAATGACAAGATCATGCAAAATGAAATAAGGGCTTAGCCTTAACATACCTATAGTAGGAAAAACTCCGTATAATATTCTCGGAGAATATTGCACCGTATTCCTTTAGAATCCCAAAATGTACGTTATTAAATTTCCAATAATCTTCGTTGGATTTTGTTTTTTTGGTTGGAAAACGTTTTCTTGTGGGAGCTTGTCGTTCTGCTGGTGGTTGTTCATGAGAAATGGAAAATTTGCTTTGTTTAAAGCTTGAATTGACTACGTAGGGCCTAACATTTTTAAGACCAAGAAGCTACGTATTAAATTCAATCAATCCCTTAGGTAGCCACCTATTCCAACATGACCATGAGTCATTGTTTGGAAAAGGATTGGCTGCCACGTTCTTTTTGGGTGTAATCTTAATAATTTATCCACTTATTAGTTAACCGGGTAATATTTCGTTATCCGGTAATTAAACTATTACCCGCATAATTTAAGAATTATCATAATTACTTAAAATTCTATTTATTTTATTATTTTTTTTTTAAAATACTTCATATATACTTTATATATTATACTACCATGGTCATATGGTACCTTGCATGGTACTAGTTTATAATTATCGGGTATTATCGCTTAACCTGTATTTTATCCCAAATTGGCCACTTTCAACGAAACTCCTTTTCCCTAATTCGTGCATCCTTTATCCTTCATGGAACTTATTTTTTCCGCTTGTTATAAATAGCTTAAGTACGTCAAGATGATCTCATCCCCGCGTCTACGTCGGTTAACTAAAAACGAAATTGTAACGTACGAAAATGCGATATGTAACATCTTTCCCCCCTTAGAAACATTCGTCCTCGAATGTTCAACTCCTCGTGATCTATATAACTTTTGCAAGGTCATCTCTGTAACAACACCACTATCAACTCTCCCCGTAGGAGCTTAATAATCTAACGACATTCAGGACCATAATTATGAATAACGATGACAGCCTCTGGCAATCGAAACTTCCTCGTATGATAAGTTCTCTGTAATCTGTACATCATCCGTGGGTACTACTCAGGTAGGATCGCCAATGCACTTCCGTAACATAGATACGTGAAAAACCGGATGAACAGACTCCAATTCCGAGGGCAATTCTAACTCGTAAGCTACTTGGTCCACTCTCCAAATGATCCTATAAGGCCCAATATACCGTGGGCTAAGCTTGCCTCTCTTTCCAAATCTCATTACACTTTTCATAGGTGACACCTTTAAGAATACCCAGTCATTAACCTCGTACTCTAAATCTCGTCGCCGCACGTCAGAATATGACTTCTGTCGACTCTGAGCTGTCAACAGTCGTTCCCGGATAAGCTTTACTTTTTCTATGGCCTGTTGAACCAGGTCTGGCCCTTATAACCCAAATTCTCCAACATCGAACCACCCTATGGGAGATCTGCACTTGCGCCCATATAAAGCCTCGTACGGAGCCATCTGGATACTGGAGTGGTAACTGTTATTATATG